TTACGTTCTCAATTCCTAAGCCAACTTCTGAGAAGCAGTGGCTAGGCAGAGTGGATTGATGCGAGTCGGAAAGTCCTGTCGGGTTGACGATAGGCTGGCCGATTGTGCGCTTGATCGCCACGAAGGACTGTGGGATCCGGGCGAATCGTGTCGAGTTTACGGCAACGGGGTGACGATCGCAGTGGTAGGAGTTAGCATGCGACGGTCGGGATCGTCGGTGCGGATATGAGGGTTGATGATTGGAGTTGAGTGAGTAAATGGTCCGGGGCCATAGTGGAATTAACGGCGAATGCGCCTTAGTGGCGGATTGTTACCCTTGGCGTGAGTGTAAGGCGGCTACGCCGAACTTTTCTCTTTTCGGACCTTGTCATCTTCTATTTGACTCTCTCTCTCTCTCTCTCTCTCTCTCTCTCTCTCTCTCTCTCTCTCTCTCTCTCTCTCTCTCTCTCTCCTCTTGAATGATGATGCGTTTGAACGATTGTCCCGCTCTTGAATGAAAATGAGTCGGCATTCTTTGTGAAGGAACTTCTTTCGGAACTCTTCCATTAGTTTCCTGGGTAATCCTCCTACGCAAGGACCCTATTTTCTTGTCTTGTGAATGGTGGATGCATGCGTACTGAGTGATGCGATCCATCTTTTCCTGTGCACGTCTCATTTTTGCACCTTCCACAGTGAATGCATGTAGGGAATGAGTGACTCTTTTGTTGATTAGACGATTGTCGTCGGAATTTTACTCGAGAATGCAAGAGTGTTTAGATCCGTAACTCTGTTTACACTGCGCATGTCATCTGCCTTATGATGCACGACATCAGCAGCCGAGCCACGAAGCGGCCCTGAGAAACAAGGCGCCCAGGGACCAACGTTGTGTTGGGCTAATCGAACCCGTAGCCATATGCGTGATCAAGTTGATCTGTGTTGCTCCCTCTCTCTCTCTCTCTCTCATGCCAAGAAGGATTGATTGAGGGTTGCGCGAATGATTTTTGTTTTTGATGACGTTTCGGGATGTTCGTGATTGATGGATATGTGGACTAACAAGCATCCTTCGACTGGGCGCCAGCCTCCCATATCTCTCATCCCAACGTGACATTTTCCTTACAGTGAGAAAATGACACGTGTATGCGAGTGGGATGTACGAGAAGCCGTTGCGCGAATCGACGAACAGTATTACTTCCCTCCCGAAAATCGTTGTTCTGGATTCGTAGATGCGGGCTTTGTTATTATCGATACGCACTCCCCACCTTACTCGGTATTATTGCTATTTAACGAGTTGATCGTCATTCCGTGGACGACAGTAGAACCCCACTAGCCGCGCACTCTGTGCACCGAATGTCAGCGTTTTGAGCGCTATGAGTCCAGGGGTTTCCACTACCGTGTGCGAAGTGAAGACGAGCATAAAGAAAGAGCCACGCGGCTGAGACCATCCACGTCGGACTCGGAACTAACCAGCGAGCGACGATGAGATTTGATACGAAAACGAGACACGCGAAGCGTGCCAAAACCGTTTTGCTCCAAACGACGGGCGGTAGCCCGACAATATTTTTTGGATTGAATTTGGGTCTTTCTGTTTTCGCGTCACGTCCGCGCGCGCATTCCGCGGCGCGCGAAACTAACCAACTTGCTCCATCGGACCAACACGGGGGATTTCAGTTCCGTCTGGGTCCCCACACTCAATTTCCAAAAATCCTTGGCACACCCCATCTTGCTGTTTTTCTGGGCCTCTTTCCGCATGACTAACACTCCGAACGGAAGACAGCACAGGGCGTGAGGTTGCGCGTCACAAGGCATTTTTTTTTTTAGATCTGTAGTTGTTTTTAAAAGTTGTTTCTCATATGTTTTCGCAGGTTTGCTAATCGATCATTGATTGTTTTCCTAGCCGGAAAAAAAAACAAAAACAAAAAAAAACGAGATTCGTGAGAAGGGGTCTTTGGTGGCCCCTATCGCAGACTATCGGCCGCCACACTTGACCCAGGTTCGAAAACATGTCGTGCAGTTGGTTCGTGAAGGTCGATGTGTACGAAGAGATTGGGGGGGGGGGGGGGGGGAACCTCCCCTACTCCCCCCCCTTGACCCCTGGCTGCCAGGGTTTTTGCCTGGTCGAGCCAGGGGAGGTGCACGTTTCTGCCTGGGTCGCCTACGCAGCAACAGTTGGTCAATATGTGGGTCCTGCTGCTGGGTTTGAGGTCGTGGGCGTCTCATATTGGTACACTCATCGTCTGAATGGAACCACCACCTACAGTGAGAACACCATGGGGTGGAGGCACAAACCACATCCACCATGCCTACAGTGAGAACACCATGGGGTGGAGGCACAAACCACATCCACCATGCCGGACTTATCTTCGGACATACTAATTGTAAGTGACGGATGGTAGGAGAATCTTGTCTGTGATTCCAGATCAAAGTGTACGTTGGCAATTGAGGGTTCTGCTTTGTCAGGTTGATAGTCGTGAATTTTCAGTACTTTCCCCATTGTTTTTTCGACTTGGAAACTCAAATGGAAAATGGCGCTCACTGGCATGACGTTCAAACAACAAATCCAAAAGAACTTGTATTTCATGGTTTCTTTCAGATCACTCAATGACATTTCATTTGGTGTGAGGTATGGTCGGAAGTTCACTCTATATGAACTGTCTCCAAATTCAATCCTGTCGAACCCTACTCCCTTCATCCAATCAGCATGTGCTTTGGACCCCTTTTTTTTTTTGGACCCCGTGATGTAAGTTGCCAGATTTTTCCCTTCGTGTATAGAGCACCCTTTCCTGTGAGTATTGGGAATAATAATACCAGCCCTAATCTATGCAGCTTCATACACCCGCCCCCTTTGGAGCCCATAAAATGCAGACTTCGGGCCCACGCAAAGCATCTCATTGGACGGAGGTGGGCATCTTTACAGTCCCCGCTCGGAAACTACCAGGCCGTCAAGATCTGCCGTCGAGATCCGATGTATTCGACGGCCGTATTGCGTCAGTAGAGGCCACACGTGATCGAAATGATCCTGAACGGGGGCAAGGTCCCACTTGCACAAATAGGGAGATTTCGGCCGTTGATCTTTGCTATCTAAGGTCAGTATCTTTTAAGCAAGTGGGACCTAGCCCCGGAGTGGTAGAATACTTGGCTAATGGGGCCAGGCCCCGGGTAGCTGATCAACGTATGTAAAAGGAGGGAGTGACATTCAGGGAGTGACATTAAAAAAACCTCCTAATATCCAGCGGCCTAGCTCAGTTGGTAAGGCTCGCAAGTGGCATTCAGGAGGTCATGGGTTCAATCCCCTTTGGCCTCATGCCTTCCTGGGCTTACTTGGCACCCGCTACCCAAGAGATAGACCACTGGATCCCCCGATCGGCATCAAGCAGAGTCTGCTATGTTCGTAGGGGAGGGGCCTGAGGGGAGGCACGGGGGATCGGTCCGCTTTATCCCTGGTGCTACTGGCCGTCCCCTGGCCGGTATCCTGCAGGCTCGAGGGGCTGTAAAAACACGGCTCTGGTATGTTACGGGTTTCCGCGTATGCCTATAGGTAGGAGTAGTGGTAGGTAGGTAGTGTGAGGAAAAAATTGAGAGAAGAGTRWAGTTAAAAAAAAAGRAAAAAAWCCYCCTATTTCCAAAAAAAAAAAAAAAAAAAAAAAAAAAAAAAACCTCCTATTTTCACTTGCTGGGATTAGTGTCGGATAAGGCGCTAATTCTTGCACGTGGGATATCGCCCGGGGGGGCCAGCCAGGGAAGTCCCACTTGCCCGGGTTATTCGTGACCGTCGGGTGGGTGGAGAAACTGGGGGGTGGCGAGGCTTGGATGTAATATTCCTAAATCTGGACGTGTTTGCGGATACATGCAAAAGAAGGGCTATGGATCTGGTCTTCTGCTCTGTGTTTAAAACCCATCCAGATTCAGGCGCTTGATCCAGACCTCTTTGCTAGTGGGACCTCGGCCCGGCGGGTGATGGGATCTGCTGATCTCAGGGGCTGCAGGTGCAGCTCCGCCTACTCCCCTCACCCACCTATAGAATTAGCCTCTCGTTGGTGTGGGATAGCTCGGAGGGCAAGAAGCAACCTGATTGCCTGGCGAATGCCAACTGGCAGGCAGCTACGGTCCGCCTGGGTTTCCTCCAAGTAAAAAAAAAAACAAAAAAAAAAAAAAAAGAATCGGGATCTCAATGCCATTGCATCAGGTGTGGGAACACGGCCTCCTACGGGAGGGTTATCTTCTTGATCTAAGGTCGGTATCTCTCACTCCATCGACCGACATTTCAAATGCATCAGGTCAGACGTGCTGCTCGGATTCATTCAGAATTTTGGCGGATTGTGGGTACTAGTGCAACTAGGCCCTAACTGACAGTGGATCGTTTCGATCTACGGCCAGTTCGTTATGATCTACGGTCAGTATCTCTCACCCCATCCGTGCTACTGAAGCGGAATCTGGGCTTCGTGGCCCCTTGGGCCCAAGTCCCACTAGCAGCGTTGAGTTTTTTTCTAAACGCCTGAATCTGGACGTGATTTGAGGAGATGTGCAAAATATCGTGTTGAGTTTCCTCAACCGCACCTCGTCCACAACCACATCCAGATTTAGGCGTTGAGGAAACACAACCGTTAGTAGTGGGACGGTGGAACCTGCCCCCTGGGTTTCTTGACGGCATCGACAGAAGCTACGCGTACTACTGTCC